AAGACCATGTGTTACATTGGTATCCTTACCCAACAGAAGGTGCAAAAACAACAAGCCAGAACCACTTTAAGTATTCAAAATATACACATTACACAGATATATAAACTGGTTACATTAATGTAACAGAGTTCCCGCATCTATAAATCGCCAAAGTTAGTAGTAACTTCAAGGTGAGTGCAGAATTGACATATCCACATGCACAAAATCTGACAGCCAACATTAGCAACAGGGATAGACTGAATCCATTCTTAGCCTAACAAATAAATGAGCACAAGAAAACCAACAAGTAAGAACATTAACTTGAGATTGCTATCTGATTGTCCTTGGGCTGTGTCTTGAGCATTGCGAACATGTGGCCCATGATATGCAGGAGTATATCCAAAAGGGTGATTTGATGTGGTAGGATATGCTGTCGGACCAGGAATTCCATGAAACTGGAAGCTAAGTAATGAAGGGAGCAATCCACCAAAACCAGCAGACATTGTAAAGTTACCAAATCTTGCAGTTGCTGTTGGAAACAATCCTCCCATGTGCCCAAATCCATGATTAGGAAAATGATTTGGTTCAGGTCGTTGAGCAGTTTCAGGTCGTTGTCCTGCAGGTCTATTAGGAATTTCAAGGCCGGGGATTGGTTTTGATCTGGGATCAGTAGAAGTCCTTCCTCTTCCATAAAGTGGAACTAATTTCTCCTCTTGAATAAGTGCCTTACAGACAGGACATTCATGGCACTGTGAGTGAAGACGTAACCATCTATACAGGCATGGCCAACAGTAAAGGTGACCACAGAGTGTCACAATGGGATCTTGGGCCAATTCAAAACATATGTTGCATTCAAAATCACCAGCATCATTGTTCCCATCTCCGGAGGAAGAAGAAGAGCTTTCAAATGCCCTGGTAGTTGAGTCCTGCATCTCACTCAGTTTTATTTGAATTGGAAACTTCAAAAGTTTGCAAAAACCCAAAACCTGACAAATACAAGTATTAAGGGTTGGTCAAAATGAATGAAAGCAGATGCGAGAGACATACCAACTGTCCATTTAAATACACCTCAAACAGTGTGTTTGGTATGGCAGGAAATGATTTCGCATGAATACGTCAAATAATTGAAAAGGTTCATACCAAGTATACATTATTTCGACTACAAGGACGGAATGACTTCCATCACGACATTTTCCTCTACGAATATATTTTTACTTAGATTCTTACATAGTATCTTTTCTTTCAACTAAAACAAGCTAAACGTTCATTCTAAAACCCTTAGATTAAAAAAATCAACAAGACACTCTCCTAATAAGCTACATTCCACCTTGTATTGCCATATTTCACAAGTATATATAGAAACAAAAGACAAGAAAATGATATCTCAACCACAGGACAAAAAGTTTAATGCTATAACCTCTTGCTCATATAGTAGATCTAACTGATTTTGCATAAGCAAAACATCTTTCCAAAAGGAAAACTACGCACAAAATATAATATAAGATGAAAACCATCACGAAACGAAAATCTCAAATCTGATCAAACCCTATGTCACGACAACACAACCAATAACTAATTCCGAATACCAAACTTGTTGTAACCGTCTATATCAATCTTATGTTTATTTCACAAATTGGGGCCCAAATCATGCAAATTATTAGCCTTTAACGCCTCAATTATTACATATACAACAACAAGGTAAAAACTAAAATCTCCACAATCTTGATTCTGAGAATTCAAGATTTCTATCAAGAAGGTTTTCGATTTACATAAAAACAGAATAGATCAGAAAAAATAAAATTACATGCAAATTGAAAAAATTAAAACGAAGAAGCATCTAGGATGTATGAACGTACCGATTCAAAAGAAAAGCAATGGGATTCAAAGGCAATTAATGGATCGAAGCTAAAAGGCGGTAATTGAGCCTTCAATTATTAGTATTGAAGAAGTATTGACTCAAAGAATCTAGGGCTTTTCACCCTGTCTCCCAGAGTTGTTACCTAAATTCATCTCTAATTTCAGTTATACCCGGGACACGGTCAAGTCATTGCCTTTTTATTGGGCTGTTTATGTTTTATGAAGAGGATGTTGGAAAAAAAGGAAAAGAGGCCCAACCTTAACATTCTGTGGATAGGGCATGTTTTTGGGTTGATTTGATTTGGTACATCATAAGGTTGGTCAAAATTGATGTAATTTGAAGAGAAAATTTACTAAATTATGTATTTAAAAGTTTTTATTACTTATTACTAGTCTTAATCAGATTTTCTAGTTTTTATAAGTAACCGCAGATTTCTATCAAAATCTAATAAATTAATTTTAAAAAACGAAAAAATGTAATTAATAATTTTTTAACTCATTAATAAATCAATTTTGTTTTTCATAAATAAAGAGTTTTAAATTGATAGAATATCAAACTCATAATTTTCTCTTAATTAGTCAGTATTCTTTTTATAAATTTCTCCTACATTTTTGCCTCCTCATTATCTCTTCTTTTAAAATTCATAAATCTTATTATACATACCTTTATTCTCTAGTTTATTTTCTAAAATTCCATTACTTGATTGAATTCACTCCATTAAGTAAATCAATTAGTATTTATCATATTTTCTACACAAATTGTATACTAAAACATGTTTGTATAAATTTTGTTTTTAAAAAAAAACAATTTATATATCGCATTTTATACACAAATCATACACTGATATATGTTTGTATATAAGGTGGTTATAAAATTTTTATCCCATCATTATTTATTTTAATATCTCACACCAAATGACCCCTAAGTACACACATCTTAACTTGATGGAGAATTGAGGAAGACTGGATTGAAAAAAATCACATTCCAGTCCTTGCGTCATTTATCTAAATAAGAACTTGAGAAATGGAAATAATAAAAAATGGAGAGAAAAGAAATCTATCAATATTGCGTATTAGAATCATGAGGAATTCGATGAAATGGAGCCGCCTTCAAAGAAGTAGATATAAAAGTAAGATCAGAACCTGATTCTCCTATATGATTGAAAATAATGGTAGTCTAATGGAGCCACTGCCGGATTCAGGATTTAGAATATGTGGGTGTCAAATAGACTTATCAATTAAATTAATTTTATATTTGATTAAATTATTCGTCTTTTCGATATATATCATAAATCAATCAATAAAATATAAATAATAAGATATTACACTTTTATTGAGTAAATAAAAGAAAAGTCAAAGGAGTAATAATGTAATTAATTTAATTTAAGTCAATAACAATTATAAAAAAAAATAAAAAATGTGCCAGCTGTTTTTCCTTAAAAAAAGGTTCTTGGAGCCTTTTTTTTTTCTTAAAAAACTTCTGCAGCAAATTTCTCAAAAAAATAGGTACAAATAGGATTCAAATCCGCAACATCAGTCTTCTAAAGTTGCCCTCCTACCGTGACACCACAAGCCAATTTTATTTTTTAGGTGGCACGCTTTATATTTATATAAATATTATATATATATATAGAGAGAGAGTTTCCGTCGAAGTTCGAGGATGGTACCCTACCCCTTCATAGATCCACCCCTGATTATGGAGCATAACAACAAGAGAGTTTAGTAGAAATTGTCAAAAGTAAACATTTTGAGTTGAGGATCATTGAGGAAAAGAAATTGTGAGGCATCAAAGGTTTAAAACGTGTCCTAATGAACCCCTGGGCCATTAAAAATTGAAGATTAATATAATATATAAAAGTTCAACTGATCTCGTGTGTTTGAAGTAAAAATATTTACATAATGGAGTCACTTATAAGGTAATATACTAGGACGTAAAAACTTTCTATGGTATAGTAACCAACTTGGCATAATATATAGGGAAAATTAGGTAGAATAGCAAACATATAGTTTAAGAAAATTATAAGTCGCGGCTAAAGTTTTTTAAATTATTACTATTCATCTAAGTTATATAAATTTAGAATTTGTATAATTTGGTTTCTGATTAATTGTATAAATTTTGAATTTTGTATATGCTTACCCTAGCTATTTGTATACGATTTATGAAAAATTCATACTAATAAATTATCATGTTTGTATATTGGCAAGCGAAATATATAAACGGAGTTCTGAAAAATTACTAAATATATAAATACAAAATTTATATATACTTACTCTATTTGTATATTTGCAAGCGAAATATACAAACTGTAGTCTTCATATCAAACAAAACTATAGTTATGAAGCGCAATTATTGAAACTATAGCTATAAAGCCTTATTATACCTATTATATTTGTTATTTATGAAATTTTCTCTAATATATACCCACCAGAAAAATAAAGTCTTTGAAAAGACTAAAGTACTCATGGTTATGATATTCGACAAATCAATTAGGGGTCCGATAACCAAAAAAATAATTAAGTATTCCTGTAAGATGTAAAAACCATATCTTAAAAGAGAAATATTTAAAACATATTTAAATTCAACGCAAATTATTAGTTTTGTCTTTAAACTATTAACAGCCTTAAAACATTTTTTTACTTGATTAACTAAACTTAAATACAACCTTGATCTTATAACATGAGTGAAATACACCCCTAAATTTTCGCCAAGTTTAAAAATTTGAAACCATTTATTATGTCATGTGACAGATCAAAGTGAATCTAAGTTTAATTAATCAATAAAATAATTTTTTTTTAAGACCGTCAACTATTGTAAAATAAAATTAATAATTTGCCTCACAAAATGTTTTCAAATACTTCTTCTTATCGTAAATTAATTAAAAATAGTCATAATATAAAAAGTGGCAAAAAGGGACTTTGATATCCAACCTATATAGATGAGTCCTAGGCCTAGTACTATATATAATAGCACAAAATTTTATAAAAAGCAGTCATTTTCCACCGAACATTTTCATAAAAGGAGCTATACTGGTGTACTAGAAAGTCTAGCAGTGGAACTACGCAGTGTTTTGTGCAAAGCACATTAATTCATTTCTGATATATCAACTTTCTGGCCTTTCACTTTGCATATAATTTCAAATCATTTCTCAAGCTCATATATTGCTATTTGTTCGATGATTCACATTGTGCGTTATTATCTCTCTGAGCACCCTTGTGTTGTAAATTTCCGTTGGAGTCACAGCCAATCATGGGGTAACACGTGGTTCTTCCTCTTCACCTCTATTGCAGCCTATGTTATCTTCTCCCTCTTCCTCCACCTTTTTCTTTGCCTCCTCTTCCGCAACCGCCGTCCTCTCCCTCTCGGTCCCATCCCCGCCGTTCACTCCCTCTCTATGGTCCTAATTTCCCTCACCATCTTCACCGGAATACTCCTCTCCGCCGCCGCTGAAATCCGTGAAACTCGCTGGTTCTGGCGCCGTAACAAAACCACCACTTTCCAATGGCTCCTCTGTTTCCCTCTCGGCACGCGCCCTTCCGGACGCGTCTTCTTTTGGTCCTACATTTTCTATCTCTCTCGCTTCCTCCACACGCTACGTACTTTCTTCTCCATTCTCCGGCGTCGAAGACTCTCCTTCTTTCAACTCTTCAACCACTCCATACTCATATTTATGTCCTTCTTGTGGCTAGAATTCTCGCAATCGTTTCAAATACTAGCAATACTATTTACAACGTTTTTATATTCTGTTGTTTACGGTTACAGATTCTGGACCGCGATTGGATTGCCAAGCGCCTGCTTCCCGTTTGTTGTAAGCTGTCGGATTCTGTTACTGGGATGTAACGTTGTGTGCCATGTTGGGGTGCTTTTGCTCCATTTCATGAAAGGTGGGTGTAACGGAATTGGGGCATGGGTTTTCAATTCAGTGCTCAATGCTGCTATTCTATTTTTATTCCTCAATTTTTATGTGAAGGTGCACTTGAAGAATAGAAATGGTGTAAAAGATACTGAAATTTTGGACTCTCTGAAGAATAAGGATAGTTGAAGTACATCCAACAGCTTGTCTACTTTTTTTTGCTTTTTACAAAATTTTGTATTGAAGTTATGTCAGTTGGGTTGTAAATTATGTTAAAGGAAATCGACGGAGAGTTCGATCTTTACAGTTCTGAGTATATGTATGTATATTACTAATTGATAGAATCTGTAGCCAATGATGAAGTAGTGAAATTCAGCCGCAATTATGGCAAAGTCATTTCACGCATGCTCAATTGCTTTCCTTTTGAATTTTGATTCTATCCTTTAATTTGACTAAGTTTTTGGAAACACCAATTTCAAAAGCAATTTTTCAAAAATCTCTTATCACCAAAAAAAAAAAAAAAAAAACTTTGCTCAGTGGGTTACTCATTAACTTGCTAGATATTTTTTGTGATAATATATACTAGTACTATTATATATATATATATATATTACTATATAAGAAGAGTGAATAAAATTCACTCTTCTTTCGACACGTGGCACCATGGCCCACCTACTTTTATTTTATTTAAATCATATATCATATATATTACTATATATAATATAATTAATATATATTACTATATAAGAAGAGTGAATAAAATTCACTCTTCTTTCGACACGTGGCACCAAGATGGCCCACCTACTTTTACATTTGGTTTTTGAAGATGGCCCACCTATCACAAATATGGGCCACCTACTTTTATACACTCCTCTTTCATTATATTTTAATTTTTTCCTTTTTAAATAGTACTAAAAAATAAATTTAAAATATCACAAATTCGATTAACTCTCAAAATTTTACACGAATTGTATAATTAAGATGAAGGGAATAACATATATTATTTGAAAAATTACTATATAATTACTACTCTTCTTATATAGTAATATTTTAATTTTTTCCTTTTTAAATAGTACTAAAAAATAAATTTAAAATATTACAAATTCGATTAACTCTCAAAATTTTACGCGAATTGTATAATTAAGACGAAGGGAATAACATATATTATTTGAAAAATTACATTAAGAATACCATAAACCACAATACTTAACAACTTACAATATTTGAAAAACATATTAACTCTCAAAATTTCACATGTGTCACATAAATTGGGACAAATGGAGTAACATATATTATTTGAAATTACGTTAAGAATATTATTAATCACAACTTAAAGTATTTAAAAATACATAACATATATTATTTGAAAATAATGTAAAAAATATTATAAATCATAATAATTAACAATTTAACAGATATTGTGCCCGTGCTTCCATTTAGAAGTGAGAATGTTTAGGAGCTTAGGGTTAGTCAGTCAATTGACCGATTTGCCCTTCTTCTTGAACTTCCTCTATTTACTACAAAAATAGTTCTAAAAATCAATTTAAAATATTGAAATTTTGGTTAATTCTTGAAATTTCATATGTATTGCATAATATAATAGAGTGAGTAACATATATTATTTGAAAATTATATAAATAGTACTAAAATATAGTTTAAAATAGTACTAAGAATTTGATTAACTCTCCAAATTTCATATGTACTGCGTAATTGAGATTGAGTGAGAAATATATATTATTTGAAAAATAGAATAAATATGTGATATTATTAGAAAGAGCTTTAATATATATTTTAAAAATTATTTTGTCTTCCGTATATGATTTTCTGCATATATGTGGAGTTTTTAAAGTTTTTAACATTTTAATATAGAAATATGATTATTTGAAAATTTTAGTACTTTCTTCATTTAAATTTTTCCTTGTTTTTCTTTTAATTTGTTCTAGATTTAAAAATTACATAAAAAGTACTTAAAATCACAATGTAATAATATAAGATATTAAAAAAACATAATTAAAAATCATAAAAGAAATTTTATTGACTCTTTAATTCCATATTGAAACAAAAGAAGTTTGTTTGAAAATAACATAAAAAGTAACGTAAATTAAAGTAAAATAACAACTAAAAATATTTAAGAATCATATAAGAAATTTAGTTGAGTTTCGTAAAAGTACCTACGTCACATAAAATGGAATAGAAAGAGTAATATATATTATTTGAAAATGATATAAGAAGTGCTATAAATCACAATAAATTAACAACTTCAAAATATATTGAACAAAATCACATACAAAAAATTATATAACTCTCCAAATTTCATCGGTGTCACATAAATTGAAACAAAGAACTACTCCCAATTTATGTTATTTACTTTCCTTTTTAGTCAGTCCTAAAAGAATGTCACATTTCTATATTAAGTAACAATTTGATTATAAAATATTTATTTTACCCTTAATGAAATAATTTACAGTCATACAAATTTATATCATTCATTTTGAACCACAAATTTTAAAAGTCTTCATTTCTTTTTTAAACTCCGTGGCGAATCAAACTACCTCACATAAAATGAGACGGAGGAAGTAATATACATTGGGCCCGCGTTGGCGCGGGAACCTAATAACTAGTATATATAATAAGTGGGAATATGTACTACTTAGCACATGACAAGTGTTGGATGATATGTGCTTGATAGTGTTGTACATTCTTCTTTTATGGTTGTACCTTTAAAATTTATATTATTGGACAATTTAACATCATTAATTACCTACTACTTTATTAGCCAAAAAGTTTGACCTCATTTGGGCCCATTTATTATTTATATGTTTTCAATTTTCAATATATGTTGTCTATCTAATTCTTTTTTCCAACCTTTTATTTTAAACTTCTTGAAATTTAATTACCTATTTATTACTCTCTCTATGCACTTTTAATTGTTACGATTTCCTTTTTAGAGTCAAACTATAAGAATTTTAACTAATATTTTACACTGTGTTTTTTGAGACAACAAAAATAACATATATTGGGTCCATTTTAATTTATTTGTCTTATTTTTTATTTTTTTATATTTAAAAATTGCGTAAAAATACTATAAATCATGATAATTGACAACATAAAATATTTCAAAAATGTTGTATGTGGTAGTCTTATTATGCCTTAAATAGCGTCAAAGAAAGTACAAATCTGTGATAAAAAAAACTTATTCCTTTATCCACACAAACAATTGCTTCAAAAACTCGATTAGTAGCCCCAAAACATACCATTTATATTATAGCACGGGCCACATTATCTAGTTATTTTAGAAGGGGTAACTTGAGAGTCTTTCTTTTTTTATGGTTAAAAATTGAAATGTAGAGGACGTGTATACCTTAGATTCTTAGTTGTGCGCCCATCGAACATGCACGCATGACTTTTGATGAAAAGGTTATCATTATTAATTAAATTATAAATATATATGTGAGAGTATCTTGAGCTTCGAGCTATATAGAGAGCTAATTAAAATTCTCCTGCGGGTTTATTAAGATGGAGTATTAATAATGTACGTTATATAATTCTGGAAAAATAGAAAAGCAATTAGATGGCATATCTACTTTAAGGCCAAGTGGCCGTAATAAGGCAATATACTTTATAAAGATTTAATATTTAAATATAATATTACGCTTCTGCTTCTGTCGCTAGCAAGTACCAAGATTATCCATTTATCTTTATGTTTTTGAAGTCTAGTAAATTATTTGAAAGTTTCAGTGCACTGCATCCTCCAATGGTATAACATATTACTCCTTTCGGTGGCGGATCCAGGAATTAAGCTCAGGGAGTTCAAAATTTAAAGAAGAAGCTCATGTGGAAATGTAAATGCACAGTAAGCGTAGTAACCCCAACATACTTTTTGTACAAGGTATCTCATTGGTTGATAAAAGTTAACATCAAACTAATCAAAGATATTGAGAACAAAGCTACGTTGATAAAAAAAAATTAGTGGATTAGTTGTATTACATAAGTTAATTCCTAAAATATGTGACAATTAAAGGATGAAAAAGAAAGTGAGACGGAGAAGAAAAATATTTACCTTAACCCGCTAAATTTATATTACCTTATCGTACCGCATTAAGCATCTTCCTACTTTTACCTTGCTCCATTGAACATTCTTAAAATTTCTTGTACTTTTATACTTTTATTTTGTAATGTTTTACTTTATTTTGCATTTTTTTTTTTTTAAATTAGTATCCATTCGAACACATATTACTAGGAAAATTTTCAAGATTCTCTAAAAGTGTGTAAGTATAGATTTACTGATATTATAATGCATATTCAGATGATAAATAGATGGCATCGTCAATTTTTTAGTTCATGTAGTTTAATTTACTAGGTTAGTCATCACTTGTTGAAAAAAAAAATGACGAATAAATCAAATAAGTTTAGTTTCCATCTCTCTAAAATAGAATTGAAAAAATAGAAAAGAATTTTCATGAATTCTATTAAATATATATTATTAAAAGGATATTGACGATTTTTAGTTTCTTCATGCAACTACATCTAATTTATCTTTATATATACAATTCATCATTTTTAAAGAGTTGTACATAAAATTATGTTGAAATAAAATGAAAAATAGATATAAGAAGAATAAAAAAAATGTGTCTAATAAATTTAAACAAAAATAAATTTAAAAAATGACATAAAAGAGAAAAAATAATGAAAAAGAGAAGATGATCCAAGCCCAAAAGTTGAACCCAATTCCATGCATTAAAAAGGGTAAAAAATAAGAGAAAAGCATAAAAGCCACTGTTGAACCCCTTATCCATTGAGCCAAAGCTTCTCAATTGTTTTCAAGGAATTCATTTTAATATATGTACACATAAAATCAGAATTTGGCCCTATATATATAACGTAATTTTTCGACCGGTGAACCCCCTCGATACAAGCTAGGTCCGCCCCTGCTTCCGTCTCTATTTACTCATTCATTTTTACTTAACATACTTATTAAAAAAATAAACTAAAATAGTAAATTTATTATATTACTCCTATTGACAAATAGAATTTCAAAAATAATTTACTCATTAAAAAGGTTCTATCTTTTCTTGATTTCTAAGAAAATGACAAGTAAAAAGTTGGGACAAATAAAAAGGGACAAAAGGAGTATCTCATTATTTCAGATCTTTTTTATTAGTAACATGTTTAAAAGACTTGAAAATAGT